GCTTCTGAGTACTCATACCAGTCACTGATCACAGAACAAATACTTTCTCTCTGAAGCAGAAGACACTGATTATAATTCTTTCCTTTTGCTTAATCAATTCTAGTCTATCTCAAGATTTTGGATACATATTCCAGTATTATTCATTTTTTGTAATCAATTTACGAAAAGTTTTTGAAAGCCAAGTAAATTCAATCTACTATGTGATGATCATGTTTGTGTGTGCACGCACACACAAGAGAGAGAGAGGACAAATAAGTACATACACACACACACACTTTTCCTCATTGCAATGTTTAACAGGTGATAGATTATCTTTCAGAAACTGTGCCAATCTGACTCTCAGTTTACATCTAGCCAAATGTTTGTACCCTGAGACTCTTGCTCAAACCTACAGCTAAAGGGAACTTTGCCTGTCTTATGATTTCCGGGATCCTGTAATTCCCTTTTGGAGACAGACACCACATTAGTGACTTTCCAATTGTCAGGAACAGCTGCTGGTTTTTCAGGATGTATCACATGTCCTCAATAGTACCTCAGCTATTTCACACTTTATTCTCCACAGTAACCTTAGATGTGTATCATCCGGTCTAGGTGATTTACCGCTCTTGAGGTTCTCAAGTTGCTTTATATAAAACACATACAAGTCTAAAATAGCATTTTGTCCAAATACAAGTGAGTAAACAACACAGAATAAGGAACTATTCTTGGTTTTGTTTGCAAGTAATTCCACATCAGCCTTGCACTTAAATTTTATGCCTAAATGTTAGTAACCTGCACTATCATTCCCAGCCAAAAAGGCATTTAGATCTGTGGTTATGTTTCTGAGCCTCGCTCTCAACTACTGCTATCAGAAATGATAAACTGTGAAAGCAAAATTATACAAAACTTTTTCACATATTAAAGAAACAAATGCCATAACAGTTCCAACTTCCTCCTCCACAGTTTGCCATTGTGTCTCTCATTACAAATAACAGTTTCATGCATTTGTGTTTCAGGGGATTAACAGCTAAACACAACTGTATCTCATCATAAGGAAATTATACAATAATAATCATCATCATCATCAAACTTGCAACAAATAGGAGCCCCATTTGTAGGTCATATACATGCTATGCTAGTAATTACTTCTAAAGTACACTTAATAATAATTTGCTCTTCGATCATGCCTTTGATCACTAGAACTCCAATTATTTTACAAGCATCAAGCCTAACAGCCACTATATGAATTGTTGATCACAATTCTATTATATGCATTTTACAGATGAGGAAACTGAGGCAGGTATTTCCTAAATCCCAAAATTTTAAACATGGATTATTAAAATTACATCCCTCTACTGGATACCCCAAATTACTACTTATATATGAAAAGTATGCACTTACATAAGTAGCCTGATTTTCAGCTATTAAGTCAAACGGAGCTATGAATATTAATTTCCCTCAAAACTAAAGTCAGGTGGATTTAAACAATTCACAAATTTGTAAATCTTGGCTAAGTACAGACGTTCAAAAAGCTCCTGGCAGAAGCATTCTATTGCGCTTTACTAAAAGCGCTGTAAGTTACAGCATAAGCAAACTGAACGGACATTCAGGCAGTGGCTACCGGGGGCATTCCCACATGCCTCCCAGGAGGCTGCTGAAGTGGCCCCTCTCCCCAGATCCACCCTCTCCCACTCACTGGGACTGTCAGCACTGGCTGGAGGGAGGAAATACACCAGACCCCTTTCCCTGCAGCCCCCCCAGCCAAGTAACAGCACACTGTGGGGTCGTGGCTGCTGTGGGGATACAGACCCAGACCCCAGTCTCCCACAGGCCTGCCAGCCAGGCAGTGGTGTGCCCCAGGGCCAGGGCTGCTGTGAGGAGACAGACCCCTTCTGCCCCCCAAACTAGGCTGTAGCTCACAGCTGGCCAGAGGAAGGAGGCAGCACTAGGATCAGAGGCAGCGGAGCTGTCCCAGCACTTGGGCAGAGCAAACGAGCTCTGCCCAAATCTAGAGCGTAGCTTATGCTATGCCACCTGGGATGGCAGCAGAATGTGACCTAGCTTAACTCATGGTGGGTGTGGCACGGATGTTTAAAAAAAGCATTCTAACAAAAGGTGTTTTAGTCTAATATCACACATCCATCGAGGGTTAACTTAGGGTGTAACTGCCCTTTTTAAAGTGATCTAAGAGCTATGAACGTCTGTTCAGTTACGGTTTTAGAGCGCTTTCTGCGTGCTTAAAGTGTAATAGGTGTAATGCCTGTACCTAGCCTTTGACATGGGCATGTTACTCAGAATTAACCTAAAAATGAGTGGCAGGCCACAGTAAAAATAGACACCTAACACCAACTCTTTTCTTGAACAATTTCATGCAATACAGCTATACAATTAGTCCAGTATGTATCTCTCCTTTTTGCAGGGGTTTTGTTTTTTGATGGAGTTGAAGAGCTAATTGCAGCAACTTTTTGGAGAATGTATTTGAACAGTATTGCTCCGTCATGCACATAAAAACACACTCCTAATTACTGAGGCTAGAGATATTTGGATTTGGTTCAGATAAACACATCTATGCTTTTTAGAAGCTTATCTGAATTGCCCAAACCTCTAGAGTCTGCAAGAGGCGTCTGGAGCTCTCACAAGTACAAGCGTTCTTGCAAGATTTCCAGTAATTTCTCTTTGGCCGGGAGTTCAATGGGAATAGCCAGTGTTGTGGTAGTTTTGTTCTTCCCCTGCCTCTCTCTGCCAAAACCCCAAGAGAAGGCTGCAAAGGACTCCAGTGACTAACAAAGTACAAATGCTAAGAAACAGAGCAGTAAAGAGACAGGAGGAGAGACAGAAAAATGAACAATAAAAAACATTAGTGAACAAGCTTATCCCCCCAAAGGTTTGTTCCAAGTCCTAGAAGGATTCTTGGAAGTGAAAGAAGGGCTATATAACTCTTCACATATCAGTACTACTTACTAATAGCATGAAAGATAGTCACAACAGATAGTTAAAATTATTAGAAATCTAAGAGATTTCTGATTGTTGTGCACTAACAGGAGATCCAAATGACATTCAATTGAAAATGAATCTGTTCCTGAACAGAAGCTGGCTTCAAAAGTCAAATTTCCCTACTTTTTGTGTCAGAAAAATAGCCATGTGCACAAGTGCATAATTTGAAGGACAAAATTCTTAGAATGAAATAACCAATTTTTTGCATGCAAGATTGCATGCAAACTTAAGAGTGTCTCTCAGTTCTGCTAATTCATCTTCTTCTGGAGATCTGGTTCCAATAAATAACCTTTAGTTTGGAAGTTTCTTTTGAAAAGCTATTTGAGTTAGCAAGCAGTTAGAAACTTAAGCCAGGTACAGAACTTATACTTTTACCAATGTAAATGATTGGAAACAAGTCTGTACCCATAACTGAACAGAAGTTCAGCACACACAAGATGGGTTTAAAAATAGTAGAACCCAATCTAAGATATGTGCTCCCCCTCCTCCCCACCTCGCTTCCCCTCAAAGGGCAAATGTGTGTTTTGTTGACTACCAAACTAAACTACACGACTTACAGAAAACCACATAATTTAGATCGATTCTACCTCAGGCTTTTTGAATGTCTGAACCAACCTCAGAGCTGTAAGTAAAATCCTTTAATTGATTATTGTCTGAAATATTATATCTTCATAGAATCAATCTTTACTCCCTAGCGCAGGCCCCTGCCCCACTTTTGAGGTAACAGATGAAAGCCATTTTCAATGGCAGAAAGGGGAAGGACTGTCAGGTCTCATTTGTACAGGTCAATATAATATGAATATAAACCCTTGTTTGAACACCCCTGTGAGCAACTAAAGGGAGAACCAAGAACAGCTATTTTCTCCTAAAAGTAGAAGAAAAATGCACTGATTGTTGATTAACTAGCTAGGTCTACAAGAACCCTTTCACAGCAAATGGGACAAAATTTCTCTGCCAATCTAATTAATAAATATTGTGCAAGATAAGACCTTAACAATTTTTGTTTACAGTACAGTTGATGAACCAAAGTGCTACTGAATTATCTGGTCTTTTCTGGTTTTCCTTCAGCAAAACACTGAAATTGTAGTGGCTGTGATGAGCAAATAATTTAATGGCATTCGTGTGATCTTAAAGGATTAGAGAGAAGCTCTGCAAATGCTGATGAAGCAAAAAATCCATACCCAAAGCAATACAGCACTTCACAGAGACTGATAAAAGCTGCAACAAGGGCCTGATCCAAAGCCTGCTGAAGTCAAAGAAAGTCTTCCTATTAACTTCGATGATCTTTATATCATGCCCTTAATTGGGGTGATAGAAACCAGGATTAAATTTGCCTTTAATACCCAGCAATGACAAGCAGGCAGTTCAGATGCTTTGCCACTCAGCTGGCAAGCACAGGGACACTGCAAAATCAGGATCTTCAAATGAGAGTGTTTTGCTCTGAAGGGGGTACCACTCGTTCCTCATCTGTGAGACTAGAGACCAGAACTAGGCATCAATAACTAATGTTAGCAGGGACAAAAAGAGAATTTAAGCTAGGAAAGGGAATGGAAGGAATCCCCTAAATCTGATGGAAACTTTGGGGGTTGTGGGGAAGGGGAAGGAAGAATTTAAGTTTCTCAGAAAAGGAGTTCATTAGCACACACCAGAAACCTTGCATAATTACCAGTGTCTAGAGGTAATAAAGCAAACAACTAATATTTCAAAATGTGTATTCAGTCCCCACATTCTTCTGCCCCAGAATTTCCAAGTCAGTTTCTACAGTATTTTGTATACACACAGTAATGCTGTAAGTTAATGTGGCCCTGCACAAATCAAGAAAACATGTCTAAAGTCTTCAGCAGGTACAAAACAGTCTTGTATACGATCATTAGACCTGAAGGTCTTAATGGAACCAGCAGGTTATTACAAGGAGGGGAAGGAAAGAGTTTGGTATACCTTAAATGCAGCGGACAGCAGGCAAGCAAGACCAGCCACATGTCACTAACAAACCCAAGAGACAGCAGGTCCTGCAAATGCACACTTACCAGCTATCCAAGGAGTCTGCCATGGACAATGTATACCTGCTCTGCTTCTTGCTGCTTTTGCAAAAGAAATCCATCCACCCCACATTCATAGCTTCCAGGAAAAGCCCAAACCTGAAAATCCAGTGCCTACAGACTTTATGGAAAGCAGGTAAGAGTACAGTCTTCAGGGAAATCCTCTCCAATTTTCCTTATCAACTCCTTCCCTTACTTGCCATCGACATAAAGCAAACTGAACTGGAGAGATCTAAACAAGGGTGCAAAGAAAAAGCCAATCTTTTAAAAGAAATGGTGCTTGCAAGCTGATCAGCATGGAGCAAGCCCGTTGAAATGATGTATGGTTATATGGCAAGCGCATATGTATACACATGTGTACACGTCAGGCTCTTCCTTGGAAGTGGATTAACTAGCAGATGGTGTCAGAACCTGAGCTGCTGTCAAGAGCAGAGTTCAGGCTGCGCCCCACTTGCCACCATTTAAACAGGAGGAAACAACAAACAAATGAAACAAAAGGCTGACACATCCATCTGACCACCAGTTTTGTCCTTGACAAGGATGAGAATTTCTGATGCCCCTTTTATTTTCTTCACTTTCCTAAAATCCCTTATACACAAGCTCTTGCCTCTTGGAGAGAATAGGAGAGGGGAGAAGCAAAAGCAAATTTGCTACTTAATTTGCAAGAAAAACTGTGCTTTTCTTTAAGGGTGTAGAGGAGTCTGAGTCCTGAGAGAGAATTCAGAACTTAATTTTACCCACAAAAACAACAGAATGGGGCTGGGAAAAAAAAAGGAGCAGAGAAGCCCCGGAGTGAAACTTTGTTTTAAAGCCCAAAGCGGGAAAAACCATAGACTAGGATTGTCTAAATAACAAAAGCAAATCCAGGAGATAAGAAGCAGTTGGAAGAGAGGTACTGCTGAAGACAGTCACAGTGACATTGTGCAGGAGACTGTTGTTAATAATTATCATCAGCAGTAAGTGATTGAGAGCTTTCCACGCTGAGTGAGGCAGTCTTTTTTTTTCCAAAGCTCTAAACCCCATCCCTCTCTCTGTCCCCCATTTCCATTGCCCCCTCTCTCCTCTGAGCACCTGCCTTACATAGCTTTCCTTGTATTATCATTAGCTTCATGGATAATTGATAGCTGTGCTCCTCCAGCCGATGCTAAGAAAAGAACTACAAGGTGGTTAGACACGCACCTACTATAAATAGACACACAACATGACCAGCATTTGCCAACATCTGATGAAGTCTTCCCCCACCGGGTCCTAAAGTTAGCTAGTTCCTGCGAGCCAGAAAATCAAGTGAGAGAAAAGTAAAAAACTCTCTCCCAGTTAATGCTGTGGGTACTGTTGTGTGGTGGGGGGGGTGCTTTTATGTCGAGCCAGAAAATCAAGTGAGAGAAAAGTAAAAAACTCTCTCCCAGTTAATGCTGCGGGGACTGTTGTGTGGTGGGGGGGTGCTTTTATGTCATCCTAAAACTATCCACACCATAAATCTTCAAGGATAGTTTGCTAAGCATATCAAAAAGTTTTATATTTTTAGCAGTCACAGCAAAGCACAAGATGTTCAGTGATTCTAGCAGTTTTTGCCTTCAAATTTCCAAGACTGAACTGGACACACATACCTCTGGTAAGGGCTTTGAGCTCTGAGTGATAACTGAACACCACAAGCACATACACCCTAAAGCTCAGAAGCCAATCTGAGAGGGGATGTTTAAGGTGAAGAGAGCAGTGTGTCAGTAAGTGGGTCTGATGAAATTCAAGCTGGCTTCATGGCCCCCACTGGCATTAGACTGGCTTAGGATACTGACTCTGTGAGCCCTGCCTCCACCATGAACCAGTACGGATACAGCCCAAGTCTGTTCAATGGTGCCCTCTCCTGCAACAGCAGCAACAAGCAAGAAGAACTGACAAAAAAGCTAGAGGCTGCCTAAAGAAGGCAGGGATATCAAGCTCAGGCCTTGTTTAACCCATACGCCAAAGAGCCATGAAAAGCCCAGATGATGTATGCTATCTTTCCTGTCACTTTTCCTCCACTTACACTCTGCACCATGTAAATTACATCTGCTTAACATGCCTAAGCTCTCCAGGACCAGATACTCAGGTCACACTTCTACTGATGTAAATGATCAGGAACCGGTCTATACCTGTAATGGAACAGAAGTTCGGCACAACCGGACTGGTTTAAAAATGGCAGAACCCAGTTTAAGATTTGTACCCCTCAAAGGGCAAATGCGTGTTCTGTTTGCTACCAATCTAAACTATGTCGCTTACAGAAAACCGTTTAACTTAGATCACTTCCATCTTGGGCTTTTTGAGGGCACAGACAGAAGTGACAATTTTTACCTGATCTGGCCCCAGAAAATGCTCTACATCTGTGAGCAAACAGAAGTGCATGGCTGCAGACTGTTTTAAAAGGGCCCAATCTCACAGAAATCTAAACCCTTATTGAATGAGGGTTCAGATGAACACACTCCAAAATGAAACACATTCCGTAACTCGTGTCTGCAGAGCTCCCAGCCTGTCTCCGTTTTCAGATTAGAATGGGGAAAGGGAGCAGAGTTCAGTCTGGGGTTTTTTCAGCTGGCACTGGAGGGTAGGGCATGTGGATTGCAGCCTCCCAAAGTGTGTGGGGGGGGGGGAAGAGGGGACAGGGGGGGACACTCCAAATCACCCACCCCACCCTCCAGCACCAGCTGGCTAACTCCAAGAATGAGCTTCCTCTGCTTCCATTCCCCCCTCCTATTCTGAAAACAGCATCTGGGCTGGGAGTTGAAAGCATAGCTACAGAGACCAAGCGGCAGACTGGCAGCAACCAACTAGAATCCCCAACTCCCAGGCTCAACAGCAAACTTCTGTTGGGTCCGGAGCATCGCTCATAGCACTTTGCAACTCATAGCACTTCCTGCAAAGTGCTATGAGTTGCAACAGGGACCTGCTCTTCTGTCTGCACCCTGAATGTCTGTACCTAGCCCAGGGCATTTCATGCTAACCCCAGCCCCACCCTTCCCCCCAATACCTTCTGTCTCTTGACTTCAACTTAAATAAACAATTTTGTCTGCAGAGTTAGTTTGGGAATATCATAAAAACTCCTTTGTCAGCTTTCTGGCATTTCGTGCTCTTGGTCATGCTTAAGGTACCAAGAGAAAGATCCTCTTTGTGGCAGTTGAGTACTTCCACCTCTGCTCTCAGACAGAATCCATAAGCATACATTCATTTTTCTGCACTTTGAATACATAATTAAGCCTAAATTTACAAAGTTCCAAAAATTCTTTGCTCCTAGATTTGGGTAGTGATTAGAATGAATGCTTATCTCAGCTGCTTCATCCACCCTTCATTTGTGGATCCTAGAATAGTGAAAATGTAGACCACCATCTATTTCTCCACATTTCTGGAATTTTGCCTATTTTCTCCTTCCAGCATCTCTTCTCCAAACACTTGGAGATATGGTCTCATCTATATGGGGATTTGCCCAATTTCAGCCATCACTAGCCAACTACCAACAAAGCCACACTAATACAAAATGCTAGTGGTCACCATGTAAGCCACAATTTGTACCAGTACAGTTTAATCTATTTCCAAACCAATTTAGATCCATTAAAGTAAACTGTGACCTGGCACGTCTCCTGAAGAGATGGTGCTAGTACAGGGAGTCTGCTGGCTGAAAACCAATGGCTATAATTGGGACAAATCCCTCTGGTAGAAAAAAACATTTCTTTATATCAGGAGGATTATGCTATAAGATGAATATCCACAATGACAATACTCTGAAGAAGGAGAAAATAGGTAGAAATTGACAACAGTATTCTTGACTTAAAAGTAAATGCTCCTGACTCCAGAGCCCAGAGTACATGGTCTGTCCATTTCATCCAAAATCCAAATGCTGAAACAAAAACCTGAAGCAAAACAAAAATGTATGTCCGGCAGATATTTTTTCTGCTGTTTCCTTCACTGGTCTAAGATCCTCCTTCTGGAAAGCATGGCTGTCCCTTCAAGTCAATAGGACATTTCAGCAAATGCAGACTGATTTATTCCCAGACAAAAAAAAATATTAAGATTTATTTTAGCCCAAAGGTTCATATCACTAACTTAATACTTTAAAAAAGTAAGAGATGTCGTACTTATCTTAAAACCAAGGCTATGCTTAAATGAAAAGTAAATCCAGTAAGGTTTTAAAGTGCACAATTAAGACACCAAATAACCTTAGCTCGGCCCTTAAGTGATATTACACAATAACTACATGCATGATTATGGTGCTTTGAGTATTTATGATCACAAATTAGTTAGAACTGTAGCCTATGAGAGTCATAACAATCAGCTACAACAGTCGCTATAATATAGTTTCATTCCAAGCTAATTTCTACAGATAAACCCTATGCACAAAATAAAAAAATAATTTTAGCTATATAGGATGTTTGAGTCTATGTTATTCTGTTAGTAAAATAATCTGGGACAAAGAAGAAAAGCTAAATTTCTTTAAAGGCCCACTCAAATTCTCAGAAAAATTCATCCTGCTCTGAAAGTAAGGACTGTAATTTCATGAATGATATGAGCAGACAAGGTTCCTTGGGTGAATTTGATATCTTTTATTAGACCAACCCAAATGGTTGGAGAATAGTTATTAAGCAAGCTTTCAGTTTCAAAAAACCTTTGTCAGGCTAAGGAAGCTGCAGCAGTTGGTGTGTGCTCTTCCTGGATGGAATGAAAATATATATCCTTAGACCAACACGGCTACAACCTAAACCCCTGCAGCATGAATGATATGACGCATTCTTTGTACATCAGAGAGGCTGAAACTCTGCGTTAAGGGCAAAATGAGACTCAGCATTCACTATGTAGTTACAACTGATATCTCTGTAAGAGCAAATGCATTCCTTTCGTGTATCTGAGAATCTATCATGGATGTGCTGGGACATGAACAGGTTTGTTCTCAGAGTTGCTAAATTCCATTACAAAGCAGACAGACAGCCTGACAGAGATCCACATCATGGTCTCATTTTCTTTCTTGATGATGGTTTCCTTGATTTGAAATAAAAGCCATTCTAGACTGCAAGTATACAGCTGTATAAAAATAAACATTTTGTCTTAATTCCCAACGGGATGTGCAGATAGTCTGGTACAGTAGTTCTATTCACCTCTTTGGAGAAGCCATTATTCCTAGCAATGCAGTCTTGTGGCACCAGAGCAGCTACCCAAACCATGTGGTGAGGAAAGGCAAAAATGAATCTAAAACAGATCTCACTATTGTCGTATGATAGACAGAAACTCATGACGGGTGGGGGCCAGTGGGGAGGAGACTAGCTACAAAGCCATACAACTTAGTTGTTGTTTTTGTTAAT